GCTGTAGATTGTGTTCGAGGGCGCCAATATTCGATCCGACGTTTTCTGGTTGAAGGACAGGTGAACAGCTCCTCGCGAAAGAGGTAAGTCACTATCCTTTCTTTTCCCTTTCGACATGCGGTCCTCCTCCGTCCTTCTGCCCGCGACTCAGCATCTTTCGACATCCTGTCCGAATTTCCGTCTGCTTCTGCTTTGCAGATGTCTATGTTGTGGGGGGGAAGGGGAGACGAGGATGAGGAGGGGAGATGTCGGGAAGGAAGAGGTCGATGGCAGCGGCGGAAGAGGCTGACGGCGAGGAGGAGGAGGGCGATGGCGGAGGAGGGCAATGGGGACGTTTACTCCAAATTAACAGAAAATTGGAAGAAGAAGAAAAGACAGCGGGAGAAGGTGGAGTAGGGGAGATGAGGAGATGTCACGTGGGACGTGGCAATGGTGAGGAGGAAGGAAGAGGGGTGAGGACGAGGAGGAGGGGGATGCCGAAGAAAATGGGGACGAAGAAAAAAAAGAACGACAAAAAAAAAAAAAAGGTAGCGGGAGGGGGAGGGTCGATGTCGGAGACGAGGGTGATCGCAGAGAAGGAGGATGAGGTGGAGAGTAGGACGTGCCACGCGGCGCGTGCCACTAGGGAGGAGGACGGATGAGGGTATTGTGGGAAGAGGAGGAGGAGGAGGAGAAGGGGGGGTAGATGTCGGGGAGGAAAAGGGCTATGGCAGCGGCGGAAGAGGAGGAGGACGAGGAGGAGGGTGATGGCACGATGGCGATGGGGAGTGCACCAGGATAAAAGTAAAGAGATTAAACAAAGAAAAATATGACAGCGGGATAACGAGGAGGGTGCATGAGGAGATGCCACGTGGCACGTGGCATTGGTGACGAGGAAAGAACAGGGGAGAGGAGGAGAGGACGAGGAGGGCGATGGTGGAGGACGGCGTTTGAGATTACGAAGAAGAAGAAGAAGAAGAAGAAGAAGAAGAAGAAGAAAAGAAAACGTCAGTGACGCGGGAAAAACAAGTCACTCTTTTTTTCTTTTTGGATCTTTATTTGTGTGTGTGAGTGTGTGTGTGTGTGTCTGTGTGTGTGTGTGTGTGTGTGTGAGAGAGAGAGAGAGAGAGAGAGAGAGAGAGAGAGAGAGAGAGAGAGAGAGAGAG